CGGCGCCTGTCTCCTTGATACGACTCCCTTATGTCGTATTACCGAACACACCTCGCGCTTTGTGCGTGCCGAGGCGAAACTGCGGCAGCGAAGAAAAGAACATCGCGAGTAGGGGTGGGACTAGGCGCATTAGATATCACTCTAAATACACCGAAACGTGACACTCGGCCGTCGGCATCCGTCGGTATCGGTACATGCTTTCCAATAATTATGTAAATATCACCAGATTGTGCGTGGGGCAACTGCCCCCGTCCGGCGTGTAGCGATCCCCACACCCGACGAGAGCGGCACCTTGGAGTGGCTCCCGGGCACACCACGACGGCCATTCAAAGGTTTGGTGCTCTCCTTACGGAAATCCTGGCAGCACGCCGGCCACATAACCATCGCTCGGAGGGTCGGCGCTTCGGACACGCCTCGTCGCGCCAGCTGTTTGCCACGCGCACCGGACTCGTAAAGGCCGCGTGACCATCGCTCGGAGGGTCGGCGCTTCGGACACGCCTCGTCGCGCCAGCTGTTTGCCACGCGCGCCGGACTCGTGAAGTGAGTGAATCACTCCACGAGCCCACTCACGTTGCGCGTCGGCACTCCGCATACGCTTTTATCATTGCGCCTCATGTCCTCGCGGCGCCTCGCCACGCCGTGATTACGCTGCCGCGGCCGGCTGAAGGTCGGCCCCACAGCCGCCCCCGCCACCAGCCTCGCACGAGCACCGGAACACACACCGTCCCATCATGCGGCGAGGTTCGTTGCGGGATAAGCCTCGGGCGCTGTTATCGCAGGACGCGGCATGATTACACTCTATGTGCACCTTATTAGGTAGTTCTCAAGATTACACATTGAAATGCCTGTCATACCACCACCTCTTTCATCTATCCCCTTTATCCCATGAATCGGACATTATCTACCAAGGCGTAGAGGATCTAATCTAAAGCGTAGTGCTGACATGGGCGTGGGGAATGTGAAAATGGATTCGCGTGCTTCAACCTAAAGACCTGTTCTGATCTTGGGCATCTCCCGCAGCCGTAAGGTATTCGTTGAACGGGTGCAGGCGGCTACCGAACATTACATATCTGCGCTATGTACAGCATGTATTATTGTACGTATCATTTATTTACATAAGCGTAACGCTGCCTGATGTCGAAAACCTCTCCACTCGATTCAGTTTCCAAGGGACAAGAACCTGTCCTCATATCTCATCCTGGGGCTCCAAGCACGCCATCTTCTTAACAACACTTCACCGCGATGACGCGCCTCGTACAACGGATCACCGAAACAAAGCGAGCGTGTATGGTTTACAGTTTATTATTGACAACCCACGTGCCAGATGACATTGTTACTTTGCTTCCACGATCCATCAGCTCCGCGGCGCAGCGGCCACCCCCTCCAACAACGGCGCATTGTACAAAGTCACAAACAAACCTGTACAAAACTGAGCATTACACAGTACAAAACACAGACGCTCCTTATCGCTCGGCCGCGGTGGCGCACAGATTATTGCGTAATAAATAAATAACGACGACACCAAAAAATCGAAGCCCAGCGGCTGCATTGGTTCGTAAATCTCTTACCACTAGTTCTTTAAAGCTAGTGCTACCATACACTGCACAGCCGGGACTGGCGAGTCCCGAGGCCCGCCGCCGCCCGGCGCCGCGTCCAGCGCCGCCCCCTGCCAGGCGGCGCTGCGTCCAGCGCCGCCCCCGGCCGGGCGGCACCGCGTCCAGCGTGGCGGCGCCGCGCCGCGCGCCAGCCGCTTGAGCAGGGAATCAGAAGACGACACTGGGAGTGAGGGCCGCGAGGTCCACCGGGCCCGGCCAACGGCCGTCCAGTTCCGCCACGGGGCCGCCCTATCACAGGCGCGCGCGCACGCGCGTGCGCCGCGCCGGCAGCCGGCGTATTGCACTAAGAGGCCGGCGGCCGGCTGGCGGACGACGGCGGCGGTGGCGGTGGTGGTGGCGGCGTTGGCGTCGGCGTTGGCGTTGGCGTGGGCGTTGACGACGACGGCGGCAGCGGCAGCGGCAGCGGCGACGGCGGCGGCAGCGGCGACGGCGGCGGCGGCGGCGGCGGCGGCGGCGGCGGCGGTGGTGGCGGCGGCGGCGGCGGCGGCGGCGGTAGCGGTCACGACTGCTCAGGACGCATCACCAAGCCGCCCTGAGACTGCACCTTGAACGTGAGCCCGCCGGCGGCGCCCGGGCGACGCGGGATCTGGATCTGCCCCAGTACCTGGCGACGCCGAAAGAGCCGGGTCACAGGCGGGCTGCCGTGTCGAGGCCAGTCGGCCAGGCGTGCAGACAAGCGTGCGCGAAACTGAACTGAACGCGCTGCTCGTTACCCTTACACTCGCGCTTTCCTGTCAACCGCATCCCACATCCTGACCGGTTGAAGCCCAGCTAGAAGTCCAGCTGGAAGGAATGGCGCACCACTTGCATGCTACGGGTCACTCAGCTGAATGTTACAAGCGTCAGGTTGTGCACACCCTCCCATGGCTCAGTCGGTACGGCGTGGGACATCTCACCATCGCGCCGGCTGACAACTGTACGCGGCACACTATGCGGTTTCACGCCCCCTTAACACTGCCAACACACTTCAATCATGCACGCCAGAGGGCCGACAGCCATCAGTGGCCAAGAGCATGACGTACTGGGTTGGGTGGCCGCGTGTAGGGACTGCGTGACGCGCTCAAGACTCTGCGGCACTTTTTAACTGGAAGGACGAGCTCACAGTTGTCCACGCAACTAGAACAGCTCTTTTGGGGTGGGACAGCCAGGATATTCACGACAAAATAAGTTTAGAAAGCATTCTGACCGCACAGCCACCTCTCCAAACCGCTAATTAAATTCGTACGCGTCCAGAAGAATGCGTTGCTTACAATGTAACGCCACTATTATGACACTGAGTTTAAGGTTCATATTTCTTTACCACGAAGACACCTGTTAATGGACCCATACAACTGCAGTAATGCGCCTCAAGTGGAGAGGCGGCGGTATTAACCGTCTGGATATGACGTCAGAACAAGAGGCATCGTACAATGTTAGACGGTGTGTACCTACTGATTATGGCACGTTCCGGCCCTACCGATTACACGTACTCCGCTAGAGTCTGATCACCAGTGCCCTGCGAGAGTAAAACAGTGACGGCCGTCGCCGCAGCGGCCGGTGCCACGCCCACCAGTGGCGGCCTGGCAGCGGCGCGCGGCCGGCCGGGCCCGTACCTGCTGCGGCAGGTGGTGCATGGGCAGCGTAGAGGGCGTGCCGATACGGGCCACGCGCTGACCCAGGCCCACGCCGCCCGCTCCCTGGCTCATCCGGTTGATCGGCACTGGAAGACGGCGGTCGGACGCCAGTCAGGTCACGACCGCGGCTCGGCTCACATGCAGACCGCAGCCCAACAGATGCCACGCGGTGCCACCGGTGAGCGGTGTCACCGCAGCACGACACAACGGGTCGGGAGTTCAATAACGTCACACTAACACCTGCAACATTCTCCTGTCACTCTGAGCCCGTTTACAACTCAGTTCGTGCTTGCAACAGAGGTGCGCAGATCATCACTGAACGGGAAGGTTCAGTGGAGCCGAGTAGTTCACAGTCCGCGAAGGTCACAGCATGCCGATTAGAAGGGGCGTGTGTACCGCGTAGCCTCGCTTCGTGACATTGGAGGGCTTGGGGAGAATTTACCCACAATGAGGTGTAGTGAACGCCCACTCCCAGATGAGGTCAGCGATAAGAATCACGTCAGATTGACACCAAAAACCAAACGGACAGGGGCACGGCAAGGCCAAAGCCCGGCCAGAGAGCGCGACCTCACTGCCCTTCACTCCAGCTGGCAAACGTGCAAACCATAATGAACTAGTACACAGCACACCAGCACTCCAGTCATGATAGTGAGTGAGTGATATGATAGTGAGCTGATCGTGAGCTGTTCCACCACGCCAGACGTGAAGTCCAGGCCTCAGCCGCAGCTGCCGATCCCGGCTCCACGGGTGAAAAAACACCTCGCACCCGGCTCGAAGAGTCAGAGCGACTCGTCCCCGGCTCGCACGGGGCGGAGCTCAGTCAACCCGCCCCAAACATGTCACCAGACCGCGCCACGCTTGGGCGAGTCAGATCTTCGCTCGGGCCCAGCCCGACAGATCAGAACCTCCGCATACGCAGTTACAAACACCAGCCGGCGCAGATCATCTCCAGCGAGAGCCCGGTCACAGTACACTGGCTACCAGGACGTGCCGCCATCAACTGATCATGGCATAAATTTGCCACACTCCGTGACAAAGCCCGCCGAAGCTGAACGGACGATGACCAAATGTGTTCAGTTCTGGCCAGTTAAAACGCACGTCGAGTCCCCAGGAGCCTTCGACGCACAGCGCCCTGGGCGCCACCAGCGAGGGACCGTCGGCTAACCTTTATTGGAATTGATGGCTATCATCTTGGTATCATTGGAGATGCCCTGAAGGGAGGAGAGGGTGCCGCTGGGCAGCGTCAGCCTGATGTTGGACGGCAGGCCGCCCTTCGGCAGCTGGATGTTGAGCTGCTGCGGCTGCAGGCCCACCTGGCCCAGCGTGACGCCGCGGCCGCCAGGCTGCAGGTTCAGCAGCGCGGCCGGCGCCGGCTGGCGGGCCGCGCCGCCGGCACCGGCGCCGGCAGCCGCCGCCGCCGCCGCCAGCACGGCGTTGACGGCGGCGGCCGTGCCGCCCTGCTGCAGCTGAACGGTAAGCGGGCCGGCGGCCGACGGCGGCCGGGCGGCCACCGGCGCCGCGCCCGCGGCCGCCCGCTGCCGCTTGGCGGGCGGCGCCGCGCCCAGGCCCGGCTCCGGCGGCCGCTTGGCCGGCAGCTGACCGTTGGCCGTGGCCGTGGCCGGGCCGGCCGGGCGCGTCTGGTTTGCCTTCAGCAGCGACTGCTGGCCGCGTCGCGCCGGCTGGAACATGCTGCGGAAGGCGGCGCGCAGCGGGCCGCAGCCGTCCACCAGGCCCAGCTGGCCGCCGCGGCTCCACAGGTGTGCCGCGCCGCTCACCTACCGACCACACCACGGCGTCAGGATGCACCGACGACACGGCACAGCGCACTGCAGGCCACTCACACTCAGTGCCGCGCTGATGACACGTTACTGTTGTATCCTGAGTTCACCAGTGATATTTCTGAGCATCACTGTCACGGTAGACAATCTCCATCATCAATCCGTGCGCCCAAATATTGTCAGATGCCATTGGAAACGAATTTCGGACACAACATTTGCAAGCCCAGCCCAGTCACGCTCACAGCGCCAGTCCGGCAGAGCTAGTCTACTCACGGCCAGCGGCTGCGGGTAGGCTGGCACGCGCGGCACGCTGGCGTCCGGCGGCGGCCGGGCCGGCGCGGTGGCGGCCGGCGCGGCGCGCGGCGGCACGCTGGCCGGCGGCGGCATGCCGTCATCGTCGGTCGAGGCGCCGCGCTCGCGCCGGAAAATGGGCGAGTTGGTGATGTTGCGGTATGTGACCATGCCGGGCGGGCCGGGCCGGGACGGCGAGGCCAGCGCCGCCGCCGGATGGCCCTCGGGCGCCGGGAACTTCGGGTCGTACCGCATGGTGAGAGGTTTCTGCGGCAGTGGCGGGCGCCGTGTGAGCGGACCAGAATACGTGACGGCATGGCTCGAAACAGGGCCGAAGGCGTTTCACTGGCAGAGGCCCCGGCCTCAGCCACACGGAACGCGGCACCCTCGACCCTGAATGATGCATCCGACTTATGCGGCACATGATTAGAATTTGGGCTTAGTGGCATTTGAACTGTTTGGTCATTTATAGTAACTTACATTTCAGACAAATACGGTAGCTAAAGAAAGCGCAACCATGCTGTAAGCCATGTCTACTGCAGATTCCTCCACAGTGGGGCGTTCACACCTCCACGTGAAGCGCGAGCCAACTCACGATCGTTTCCCTCTCCCGGCTCTTGCCGGCCTTGAAGCGGACCAGCAGATCTTTGAAGGGCACGGGCCGGACCACCTTGGACTTCTGGTCGAGGTTGTGCTGCCGGCAGTCCAGCACGCGCGTGCAGTGCTTGCTCCGCTCGGCGATCCACACGCCGCAGTGCTTCTTCGGGTCGTACTGGCGCGGCAGGTGGCCCAGCCGCAGCTTCTTGGCGCACAGCGAGCCACGAAGCTGGTTCAAGTGTTCACTGACGGTGGTGGCGTCGGGCGCATCAGCAACGGCGCGTGCGGCGGCCGACGGCGGTGGCGGCGGCGGTGGCGGCGGCAGTACCTTGTACTCCGCCTTGGACGGCACGCGCTGCGCGGCTGGGCTGAGGCTGGCCGGCGCCAGTGCTGGTGCTGGTGCCGTCGGCGGGGGCGGCGGCGGGCACGGCAGCGGTGACCCCGGCACCGCCAGCTCGGCATCCGCCGCCGCGTCGACGGCCGGCGAGGCGTCCAGCGAGGGCAGCGGAAGCGGCGGCGGCACAGCGTCGTCCGCGCCGCCCGCGTCGCTCTCGAACTCGTTTAGGATGTCGACGAACGCGCCGGGCACCTCGGTCTTGAGGCTGAGCACGGCGCCGAGCTGCTCCTCCGACGAGACCACCTCGGGGTCGTCCACCAGCGAGTGACGCTTCAGCTCGGCCGGCTCCTCCTTGACCGCCACCTGCGCCAGCGGCTCGTAGATATCGACCACGGCGGCGGCGTCCTCGTCGGCCACGACGGCCGCGCACGGCGGCACCGGCGACGTCACGCGCACCGGCGACAGCATGTGCGACTTGTACGACGGCACGGCAGCGAACAGCGACTCGGGGATGCTGTTGATCATGATTTTGACCTGGAAGCGCTCAGCCTCCTCGCGCAGCCTGGCGGCGCTGTAGTCCGGGTGCCGCAACGCTGCCGGGCACGGCGCGAGGTCAGTGGCCGGGCAAGGGGTGCGGCGAACGGCAACACACAGCAGCAAAGGCGGCGGCGGCAGGCCGGCCGGGGCCAGATTAAGCCAGCTATCGAGGGACGGCAGCTGTCAGAGCATGGCCCGCTCCCGCGCCGGCTGGACTCACTACAACGCCCCGCACCCACACTACGGCGGCACACCGGCCGGCGCCGTACTACGGTCTGGGAATACTCACACATGTGCTCCTTGACATACTGGGTCTTGACCGGGCACTTGCAGAGCTTGCAGCACACGGTCGAGAATTCCTCCACCTTGGGCATGTCACCCAGCAGAGGCTTATCTGGGGAATGGTCGGGAGCGTTAGCGGCCTGTACACGGGAAAACGCCAAAACAAATACGCTCCGTCCACGGCGAAATGATTCACTTCACCCAGACCGGCTGCATGCAAGCCAAAACAAAACCATGGTGACGGCAGGTAGGTCAGACAGGAGCCGGCATCGCATAAGTCGGCAGCTTGTGCGCGACGCTTCCCACCAACAGATGGTCCGGCCGCAGCACCGTACTTACCTTCCAGTGTGAGCTTCGTGTGCATATCGCCACTTTTCCGCCGCTTTTCATTTCGGACATCTGGAAATGGGAGGGTCCCGTGAGTGACACCTTCAACAACTAGGCTGACGACGCACCGCTCGAGCGAGGTTGGTGTAACATTCCTCACGGTGTTGTTGATGATGGCTCAAAGGGTGCGGCTAAATGAACCAGCCAAGAATTAGCGGCACTTCGTCATGGATTACCGAGAACTCCACATTCACAGCTGTGCGATTAAGACGGGCCACTCGTGACTCTGAACCAGGACCTCATAGCCGAGGCTCTTTCCAGACGTGCAAGATGGCCTATCATCTCCGGCCAACCATTCACTGCACGCCTGTCCGCACCAGCTGATCGCACATGATCCAGCGCAAGGCTTGGCATCGACCCGGTACAAACGAAACTGTAAGGCGATTCAGACAGGCCTGCACATCCTGGTTTACCCGTAATCATAAGTTCAGCACTACGTAACCAACGGTGGAATCTACTGCTCATGTTGCGGCACCTGTTCATCCATTCAGTGGAACAACCCCAAAACTGTAGATGAATGTACGGGTTGGGCAAACCTTTGAAAGGTTAAACACTTTTTTGATGTAAGCAAAACATGACCTCGAGCTCCTCTTCTGCTACAAGTTGAGTCCAGAGTTCATGGGTTGGGTTGGGTTCATGCTGGGTTGTCCGCCTTCACTTTACCAGGTGTTATTTAGACGTTACAGTGCGAACATTCGTTACGTTGACAGCACCACACATTTCAAGCTGCGCTTAAGATTGCTCGTGAGCAAAGTACTTACGATAACTTGATCACTGATCACTCAAAATATGCCAGAAGGTACTGGCTGAGCGACCTGATCGTGTGAACATTAGTCACATAGGCAGCAGTGGCTTTTCAAGCTGTGCTTAAGATCACTCACAAATGCGCCCATGATCACTCATGATCACTCTTGATCGCAAGCCCATCTTCACACATCCATTATTGTCAACACAACCAATGTTTGCACTATAACGCTGTTCAACCAGTACCTCCTAGCTTACTGAAGATGAACAATTCAGCATAATAATTCTTAACTTACATCCAAAAACCAGGAGGTGAAGGCCTTTCTTTCTCATACCAAGTAAAAATAAACCATTTGAATATTCTGACTGTGTTCTGCATAAGCATGGTCTTGCTGACGTCCTAATAGAAAAGCAGCATTGCTCAACTTGACGGAAGTTTAACATTGACCCTCCATCGATACATGAACAGAACTGGGTCCAGGAGGTTTTGCGCATCCCACATAGGTGAAATGTGCACATAAAGCATGTTCAGGAGAAAACTAAGCGCGAATAAGGAACAAATGAATGACAAAAACAGGCTCAAAGATGCGTCAGTTAGCAGAGCATAACGACCTGAGCATACCGTTGTTGCTGGTATTCCTCCGCGCCAGTATGCCTGTTTGTGGATCTGCAAACATAAGCACTTGATTTTCTTCTAAAATACGACGATGAGGCGGCTCAGGCTGAGCTTGTCAGTTAGGAATAGCCCCCATTTGCTCTCACAGGTACATCTGGCTTGAGAAGCCCTTTGGCTCCTGTCCCACAGTCAAATTATCTGGCTGTCTCTGGCTCCTGTCCCACGCTCAAGTCCTCTGGCTCTTACCCACGCTCAAGTCCCCTGGCTCCCGTCCCACACGCAAGTCCTTTACAGTGATACGTAGCCACATGATACCTACTCTTCAACCTCAACACTATCTGCTACATTAGCTTTCGCATCCATCGCACTCAGAACATATCACCACCTTTCGATCCGCCTGAAGGCCACAGGTAATCGACGGCTGCATACATTATCACGCACCACACTATAGTCGGCATGATAGACCGCGCAGCGACATACCGTTGTTGCCCGCACGGTACTGATATATTGATTACATGTCGCCGGCGTCTGGGAGCGCATTCGTTTCAGTTTGTCAATAACACTAGATCATTTCCAAACATGGTGCAGATAAGATGCAGTCACGCATAGTGTTATACAAGCTCAGTTCTCCTCACATATTTACCAAGTTCACGCTAAAACATTTGAAAAGTAACGTTTGGAACTGTGCAAAAGTGATATTTTGGATATTGCTTGCCAGATGACGATGACTTCCGTTTTAGAGCACGCCGTCACATGACGAAATTTGGGGCACACTTGTGCTTGGATAAACGTATTTTTCCTACTATGCCGTACCCAGCCTACGCAGTGGTGGTCCGTACGGTCACGAAGGGGCTGCCTTGCGAGTCGCATGTCGCACCGTGCTGGTCGCGTCAGTCGTTTTTTATGTTGATGACGGGTACTCTGTCTCTGGCGTCCGATATTCCCAGTGTGGCGGGGCATTTACAGTCTTTGGGGTATGTGGCGCATGTGCGAGGTATTTGATACAGCGTGGCCAAGCGTCGGCTGAGGCTTGCTGTCGTCATGCCAACGGTCAGCGGGCCAGTCACATCTGCCACTGCACGGCATGCGAAGAACACGACAGCTCTCCCACCTCCATGCATAGACACCCGGAACTACAAGTACATTTCAGCCGCACAACAGTGTGCACCGAATTAGGCCGTGCAGTTTGGAACTGTTATTCTTACCAACTTAAGCGCAGATTTCGCAATGCACGGAGATATCAAAGTTATATATCCTGTGTGTAACAGTATGTTCGATGCATGATGTCCTGTCTTGAAAATGGCCAACGAATCTTCCGAAGCACCGACGAACAGATGAATGTTTATAAACTATCGTTTTGCGTGGCGTCGTCCCCGGGCCCAATGTCGCGAACGGTGAACTTTGGAGAGGACGCGCGGGCGAACCATACGGTTTTCCACGGAAAGATCGCGAACCGCTGAGGTCCGAGGCTCGGGCGTGGCACGGGGCGGAAGGGCCGTTTTAGGCCCATTGATTCTTGTACGGGCGGCCCGAAAATGTGGCCGGCGACAAAGCCCGCGGGCAGCCGTTCGAAGCGGTGGCCACATCACGGCAGCCAGGGGTCAGAGCGACAAAATTGACACGTTTAGGTAGATAATTAAGCGGGAAATGGCATGGTGCCATATGCCATGTGTCCCGTGCACAGCAGCAGCCAAGATGCGCTTGCCCGGTTTTTAAGGGTCTCCACGTCTACTACCATACTACCTACCTACTACCTACCATACCCCGGCAGCCTAAGCGGGAAAACGCGCGAATCCAATTTAAAAGCATCAACCAACGTCCCGCCCGCCATTCAGGTACCCAACACGAGTTTGTGCGGCGCGTGCTTGCGCCGACAATAGTCGGGTTAGTTGCGAATGTCGGCATTTCCGAAAAACGGTGCCGGATACAACATGCTGTCGTCGGAACTGTAGCCAGAGTCGTGGCGAAATTTACATCACGGCGGGCACCGATGCATGGCCTGTATTTACTGCCCATTTGTCATTGTATGCACCGCGCCGTTCATACATCAAACTTACCTTGACATTCATAGCCCTCGTGGCAGCTCTACATCTTCGCGTCACCAAAATGCCACCGGTTGATTGCCCAGTCGCTGACGGCCGGTGTTTTAAGTAAAACGTCGAAGCACGCACGCGCCGTATGTTGCCAGTGTCTGGCAGCCGCCATTCATTCATTTTTTCATTAATTTGTTGTGGCGAGAAAGGTCAGCCATAGTGACAATGAAATACACTACCCGAACTCACTGCTTTGTGAAATGCCAGAAAGCCACATATATCCAGTGAAGAGTAATTTCCGACGGGTGAAAAGGGACGCCGAAAATGCAACATTTTTAGCGAAATTTACTGATATGATAAAACAACACTCTCAGTGGCTTTGCGGAGTGTGTTTTGAAGTCCTTACAGAGTAGACCACAAGGAAACATTGCAGCAGCGCTGACACCTGGCATTGACAAAATTAGGGAGATCTAGCATTTGCAGTGATAGCATGTGCGGTTTTCTTGAACTACTGGCGTACGTAACAAACTCCAACGACAGTGAAAATCTCGAGAGCAAGCTTTGAACGTCCCTAGTAGTCAGTGCATCACACCCGGTTCCCATCAGTCATACCAGCAGCCAGAGTTCGGGTCGGCCAGGTGCTCCCATGAATTGTGTTGAATATATCGCGACATGATGCAAATAGAAACCGTCCACAGTCGCTCTGTCGCTTAGTGACGCAAACCCGCAAGCACTCGCTGCCACCATGTCAAAGTCCGTCCCGTAGCTCAATCACTTGGAGCGGCCACATCCCAAACGCCCGAGACGGGGTGCGTGGATTCCATCCGTTTCGGCGGTGGTGATGTCTTCCTAGCTGGGTTGGCCTGTGGCCGGCAGAAGCTGCCGCTCAAGGTCAGATGGGGTCAGAGGTCGGGGAGCATTGTGGCAACTTTCGCCGCAAAATTCTGCCCTCAGCCTGCAATTTCACGATCGGACGGTGAGGCTAGGACTCACGCAACGCCCCGTGCTTAGCGTGGACTCTGATCCACTAAATCAATCCAATCAAAATGCTGAGAATACGTTCATTTTGACGAGTTTGTATCGAGAGAACGAAAACCAACAACTCCTATGCGTTTTGTACTTTGACCTGATTCTCGGATGCATGATCTATCAACTGATGGTGCACATTTAATTATGTCTCGTAGAGCGTGCCTCGCATTTCGCCATATTCAAATGTTTTAAGTCCGACTGACCTACACTGCTTCGAAAATGGGGAACGATTTCCTTGAAACGTTAGTTAGCCAGAACTAATGTGAAGGACTATGGGAAAACAGATTTATGGCTTGCCAAAACCAACATAGGATTTCATTTGAACATTCGAACAAACGGGCAACAAGCTGATAAAATGTTTATCTACACCTACGTATATCAAAACTTGCATTAATGAAAGCATGCTGCCTAAGTGCACGAATATGTATGTGCGTGTATCAGCAAAAACTCTCAATTATAGTCCTTTTAGGGAATCTGCCCTGCTGAACGCAGTTCTGCGAAACGCGACCCTAAAAATACGACGGAACAAGTCAAAATGGCATTTTTGCTTGATTTCGACCAACATGAGCAGAGGTTATCTAATTTATTTCAGACCATTCTTAGATGTCTATATCATGCACTTCTCCAAATCCCAACAGCAATCTTGAAACGAAGGCTACGTTGCGAATCTAAAACCAGGCATGGGGATAAAGCCAGGATTTTGGGTTTCGTAGCCGAATCTGAAGTCAAGACAATGCTGTGAAGCTGAAGTGGACTGAAGACGAATCGGAGGCCAATGACCTCGAACAGAGGCTTAACTTTTTCAAATGGTCATGATTGCAATACCATTTTTGGGTTCATGTCTTCTATGCAACACTATATACGTAATGTTCATTTTGAGATATTGATTCACGGTAAAGTTACACCTATGGTTTCGAGCTTCGTCTACGTGGAGCCGAAATAAGAGATTTCGAACTTCGAGGAAAATGCGAAGTCAAAGTCAGACCCACCAGCTTCAAATCACGAGGCCGAAGCCGAGGTCGAATCTGGCATGCAATGTTAATTCGCAACACCAAAAACCATTTCAGCTTCTGTCCAAACTGCATGGGATTGAGAAATGTCCTGAGGGTTTTATGCAGTGGTTGAGACGAGGCGTACGCATTCCGGGTGGAAGAAAATTTTGGGCAAACTCGTCTAAGTTTAAGTATGTACACAACGTTTCAGACATCTTGCACGTCAAAACTTCAGTTCTCCAGCCCACGTCAGGTCGTAATTGGCCCTGAGAATGACGAACTGGTATCTAGTTTTCAGCCATATGTAGGTTGCAGCCTCCAATAATCATGTGGTATATTAGAGTGACATGATATACATGACTGTAACTCTTTTAATGGCATCAACCGCAGCAGGAAGCAGAAATCGCAATGACCACACCAACCTAGGAGTTCAAAATAGCATGAAGCTGTAGCCCAATGCAAAGTTGAGACCTTGTTTGACGCCCGCCAGCTCAGTTGGTTAGAGCTCGCCTTTCCCTTCATCCACTCGTGGCGTGGTGGGTTCCGCCTTAGGCACTTCTCATTAGACTCTAACTGGGATAATCTGCGGCCAGCGGCGGAGGCCACCCCAGATGTCAGAGGCCAGAAAAACCCCGCCGAGCATAGTTACATTCGGCTTTTGCCGCGAAGTTCTGCTGCTGACCCAGAATTTCCTTCTAGATGGTGGTGTCAGGTCTCTCGAAACACACATGTTTTAGCATAGGCCACAAGTCCGGAAACCCAGTCAATTAAAAGGCTCACACCACATTTCAAAAAACATGCTGAAGCCAGCCATTTCAAATGGTGCAAGGCTAAGTCAAGGCCAACCACTTACAACAGCATGAAACCAAGGTCAAAGCCTAAGCCAGCAGCAGGAAATGGCTCAGAGCTGACTTGAACTTAGTTCCCATGCCTACCATGAACTACCCTTATACTTATACCTTATACAACACTTGATACCGCTTATGGAATGCTCACATTCAGATAATTAAATCTGGATACAGCCATGAAAAGTGCAGTCATGAGTGCACAATCCACAGAACTAATAATAGTGGAAAGATACACCTAGCAACCTAGCCATCCACAAGATACAGTTGTCAAATGATTGAAATCATATTGCTTTAAAAATTGCAACTTCTTCTGAACTGTGCAGCATTTATCACAGACCTTGATTTTAGCAGCCTAGTAATAGCCTAGTGTTAGTAATATCACCTGATGCCTGTCAAGATAGACTTTGGCTGATGGTTCACTTTTTTAAAGCATTTAATATTCCAGCAGATATTGTGGTGGTTAGAACAAAATCGAAGGGCCCCAGATCAGCATTGGGTGCCCAGGGCCTTCACAAAAAAACACTTGGCGCTGTTAACACTTAACAATGCAACAGATAAGTGTAGATAAAGAGGACAGAAATCAAAAACAATGTATATGATGATCAGATGGTCACATTTGAGCTCAGCATAACCTTACAATTCACTGGTGGTGACAGGGAATTATGCCTATGTAACATGGAAGAAGAAAGTGATTTACTCCAAAGCCACTGTAACACCCCCACACAAGGCAGCCTCATGCTCAGCGCAGGACTTATAATGCACTGGCCCCATTCTAAAGCCAGCCTGTCAACTTTCAAGAGCCAATAAGAACTGGATTAGCATGAAGCAAAGATTGGGCCAGGCCTGATCTATGGAGATGTTTCTTTCCTATACAAGTGGTGCACATGCCTAATCCTTAGTTTTTTTCCATAGATACTTCATCTGGGCTGACCCCCACTGCTCACCAGGCCCAGCCTATGGATGGCAGAATACAAAACATAGATAATATGGCATCATTACATCATGGGCCACAAGGCACACACCAGCATACAATCTGCTTGGAGAGAGCAACAAGGCACTAGTAAATGGCATAATATTACAACCATAATGAGTCTGACCACCAGCCTAGCTCTTCCAAATATGAAACAACTGGTCCCACTTTCAGTCACACAACAAACCCATGTAGCAATGACATACACATAATGCAGGATAATGCATGTGAGTTGTCCATCTCTTTTACTGCAAGCCGCTTACATGGATATCAGTCAACATCACATGACTATCTCAAGGATAATCTTATTGGCATTTACAACATTTAAAGGAAATATCTCATAATACAGCTGAAAAGCCATAAGGCATATGTGCATCAATGAGCCATGGGGGTTACTTCTAAGTTGCACTACTTAAGTACCAATGCTCAAAACACAAATGCTCAGATTTTTTTTTTTTAAAACCTGCTAAGACCTAAGCTTTGTATCTCTAGAATACTACTGCATGCCTCCTTACAGCATTGTTTTTGTTTGAAAACACTGTGGACTTCCATCAACAATTTTGTTACACATCTTGTTGCAATGACCATCATGCACAACAAATACAATATCTAGTCCTGTTGGGGTTGAACTCTAGTAAAAGTGAACAAGCTTTGCGTAAACTTGGAGCTTGGATGCAACATTCTAAATGCAGCATCACAGGTGCACCATGGTCTGCATTAATGACTTGATTTTATCTGTTGATTGTATCTTGACAACCCCAAACATTCTATGTCTTTCCCTAGCACCTAAGCCTGATCTGATGCTGCTAGTTTACTGTTAGCAACACCAAACATAACCATGCATCCACAAATATTTTGTTTACATTTTACATGTATTTCCTGTGTTGATCAATTCTATCCTCCTTTACCCAATGCTTTCTGAAACAAAAACAGCCTTTTTACACCAACACAAGGCCTGATAAAAACATGCAATCCTTGACAAAGCTATCATAGTACTGGGCCAGTGCAGCTGATGAGTTTTGTGAGAAAAATCATTATGCTATGGGATGAATTGATAAAAAATAGCTTCTGCCAGCTTTCAAACCATTCTAAAATGCCAAAACATGCCTTTATACCTCACTGTGTTACATTTAACCCAAAACAGAGGCAGATGCATAAACAGCCTTGAGAATATCAAGAGAGAACAAGAAAAGCTTAAGATTTTATAAGCAGGTCTTTATGCAGCCCTGTGCCACCAAACAGGCACAGGCACCAACAGGCACCACAGCACATAGGTTTAATTCAACCTAAGTTTGATAATTTGGCTGGCTTGACTCAAATCAGACCAGCACAACTCATCAGACATGCTGGCATACTGACACCCCACCATCCCAACCCCTTTCAGCACCTTTGATCTGCAGATATGCTATGCAAACAACTATTCAAAATATTTTCAAACTTGCCCTCTTGTCTGAACATAAATATCAGCTACATCTTTATCTCTACATTTTCAGATACTTACTGAATGAAAAAATGGTACAAATGTGACACATGATATATAGCCATGTTATTTGTCATAAAATTGTTGGATGAATAGCCTTGTGTCTAGTCAACACTTAAAGTAAGACAGGTGCACAAAAATATGAGATCTAAACATATCTAGATGCATCAGATACGTTCCACATTCAAGCTCAGGAATTACAGCTAGCCAAACAGCAAAGTTATCAGATTACATGTAAACTACACTATGTGCATGCAAACATTACAAGAAATGAAGTGAACTGAGGACAATGCATGCACATACGCCTAAATGTAGCATGATAAACATAACATCCAAGAACCTTGGTACATGATGCAGACAAAAGTGGCTGTTTGCCTGATTCTACAACCAACTGGGCATCACTGAGGCAATAAAACGCTTGCTTCTCAGAGCACAATCAAATGCTATGATGCAACATGCAACAAAATATGCGTCCATTAGGAAAAATACCACATTTTACCAAAGTTTATCACTACCTCTGTGAGCAAACTAGCCGCGCCATATACGTCGCATCCGAAAATGTGGCTTGTTCCAGTTGCGCTTCCTACCTTTATGTGTGAACATGCACGACTAAATCACCTTGAAATCACCAGCAAAGCTATTTTTCATTTTTTGTCACTTACTTTCAGAGGAACCGGGTGTGTTGTCTTTCAGTAAACTCGACCAAGAAGGCCCCGGATACTGGTTTACCCCCGCGCTCATCTTCGCCATCTTGCCAGCGACCAGCGGAGAATCGGCACGGCGCGTTCCGTTTGTTTTCCATTCTCAGCTGGGAAGGAAACGTCTCCTACAGGAAAATTTTTGCGCCAAAAGTACGGTTTAGATAAAAATTGCTGATGTGCGAAATGAGCCGATTTCGATCGTGATTTACCACTGTGCTTCTGTAGAATTGTTTTCCAAAGTGTTATTTATGATAGTTACTGCACGAAGCGGCATTTTAAGATCACGTTCCCATATATGCCAGATGCAAGGGAGTAGATCCACAAAATGTGGGGGGGGGGGCGGACGTAAAATTGTCTCGACGCACCCCCGAAAATATCCTTAAACTTCCATGCACAAAATTTGGCCCACTTCCCCTCAAAGTTGGGTTGGGGATGGGGGCGGGGGTAGCTAGGCCCCGAATAGAATTCGGAAACTACCCTGCTGCCGCGTACCTAAGGGTGTTGGGACCGCTAATATTAATGTCATTAAAGCCGGCCGGCTCGCCTATTCTAAACGGATGCCTCTGTCTCAAAGCGTTCTTTTTGGGGTCGTAGATCAATATTAATAGCAGTTTGGCAGCTTGTTTATGATTCTTAAGAGGTGCTGACTAAAATGGATCCATGCCGAAAAGATAATTGAAAACGTGGAGACGAACCGGTTTGATCATTCGTTTCCTCTGTACTCGATTCTGGCCGACGCAGCCCACTGTGTTCCTGCCAGGCATGGCTCCCTTACGGAGACCTGTGCTTTATACGCGTTTGGGGACCCGGAGCTGGTGTCAGGTTAGGTCGACAACCGTCGAGCGGAAGTCGCTTGACACTCAGCGCTTGCCTGGCACCGGTGGACGTAGGACACCTTTCGCCATCGGCGTAAACCCAGTGGCGTAGCCAAGGGGAACCTTTTTGGGCCTTGCTCCCTCCCCCAAGAGGCGCGGGACAGAGGAGGAGCGCTTGCCGCTACGACTTTTGGAGTGAGGAGCGATGCCTCCATCCAACTTTGACGCAGCCAATCTTGAGGTACTGATACCCAAAATCGATATGTTTTTCAAAGACAGTTTTATAAAAATGCAACTGTCGGGATTTTTCTATGCAAAGTTATGTTCTTAATCTTGCTAAGACATGTGGCATGCTCCTTTATATCACCTTCACGCATAGGTCGCCTTCCTTGGTGAGATAGAGACAACGTTAAGGTTTGGACTCTTTGGTGGTCTCCCAAATGAATTTATTGACAATGAATAATCTATTCGCCGTTTTACTTATGATGAAGCTTATTTTTCATCATCTACATGCACAGCATATAGATGATGAAAAATGCACAGCATATACGTACCACGTGAGAATGACAAGGAAAGTCACTTCCACGTGGCGGGAAGTCACCCCCACTCCCAGACTGTGCGGGGCGGGTTGTGTGTGCTAGATGTGATGCACGGAGTGGTCCAAGGATCATCCTAGGATCAGTATCATTCCTTATCTTTACCAATGATTTGTTGTAACCCATCTCACATGGCAAGTTTAAAATGTTGCAGACGATACCCAGTTCCTTGGTGCCGAATGTTCAACAAGCCTCCAGGCTCTAAAAAAAACTCGTGCCAAATGTTCCCTCCGCGTGGCACTGCATTGGTTCCCTGAGAACCGACTGGAAATTTACGCACCTAAGACTGAGCTTATTATCCTTAAGTGCCGTAGCCAAAACTTAAATGTTAGTATCTCAGTCCATTTTGGCAATGATAATATTTCAGCCTCACAGAGCATCCAGGTCGTGGCGTCATCCCCACACCTGGCGTGGAATGTGCATGAAGCTACTGTTGTTCAGCGGTGCTACTGAGTTCCGGTGGGGCTAGACAGAATCCACCGCAAGCTACCGATTTATACCAGGCGTCTGCTGGTGGAAGTTCCCGTCTTTCCTCACAGTCGCTACTGTTTAACCTCGTGGGAAAATTGTACATCAGCGCAAAGACAGTGATCTACTTCGGCATTTGTATTGTGACCACGGCCTGCACCTGCAAGACCATGTTACCACATCGCTGCGAGAGCTGGGGTGGTCTAATTTTGAAGAACTACTCACCGAGCGTGATATCGTTACCACGCGGCATCTCATCACTGACATCGGTTCATCTGAATTGTTGTGCGAGCGGCTGCACTCTGATAGGCCCTCCGCCGCACACGTGCCGCAGAGGATGGCCAGCTGCACTTACCCAGAGTGCGAACAGAATTCGTCCGGCGTAGCTTTTCCTACCGGGCTGCGGGTGCTTGGAATAGCCTGTCATCGGAAGTAAGGCAGCATGCTCGCTCCGCACCGGTCAGCGAGTGGGGGTTCAGGTGATATGAGCCAGCTTTACATTTTTCTTCTTATGAGCTTTGCTTTGAATTGCATGTGGATGATCATAATCTTTTCGTATGAGCTTTACCTATCTTGTATTGGCTATCTCGTATTGTAGTCACACCGTGTATATTCCACTGTGTTATCATGTATTCACATGGACACCACATAATCCATCAATGGAGGCATCCAAATACGCACCTGTATCTGTATCTGTATCTGTAAAGGTAAAAGTACCTTCTACCGCCACCGACGCAGAGGCGGATGAAGTATGCCGTTAAGCGGAGACCACTCCACAGACGTTTGTCAAGTCGGTAACAGATCCAGATGCAAACCCAAATCGATATTGGCGACCTTGGCCGGCTATTGATCCGCACAACTGTAGTTGACCGGCTAAGGTGATAAGCCTGACGACAAACAATCTATTTGACTCTGTTCCTCCTTGTTCCGTGAATTTCAGGGTGCTAACGTGAAAAAGGCTTTTGAATATCACATTTAGCCGTGCAGCCAAGTACGTCGTAAAGAGAAATGTGCCGCAACACGACCTTTCGCTACTTTTTTGAAACGATGCTTTCAGAGCAGTACCGCACGCGTTTCGGTCAGGTGAGTCCGACCGCAGAGTTTTCTTAATGGAGGGGAGAGGGGGCATTAAACACTGATCATAGCGAAACCAAACAGGCGGTCTAACGTGCTAAAGCAAAGAAAAAATCGGCGCGGACCTAGGGCATGGAGATCAGGCCCGGGCTATCATCTCTGCCCGCACCCCTGTAGCTAAATAGTAATATCTTCATTACTAGTGAAGTAGAATAGTTCGAGCTCGCGCAAAAGGTATGAAGCTTGCATCACAGTCTCATAGACCCGAAGGAGTTCTGCGGTGGTGGACCGAACCTTGATCGCACGAGACATTCACCATGGCGAACAACGCGGTTCATTGTTTCAGAAGGTGTGTGCACACATTATAAGATAACGGAACGCTACCGAAGCTTGAGCACCAAAAGCGACCAAGAAAACCGCAAGATCCCCCTTCCCGCAGTGGAGTCAAAAACTGTAAAAGAGGTGAAATGGACGTTAAAATTTTCGAATATCTTCGGTGTTTATTCCGTATAGTGGAAATTTAATTGCAATGCATTTATTCGCCCAAAATATATCGCGGACAGCCATTAACTCGACTCCCTTCAGGCCTCCCAAGTGCGATTAACATCCTTCTGGATGACCGCACGGCTGTACGGCGACCAGAACGGCCGTACCCTTATCATTCAGCAGTGCGGGTGTAAAGAGCACGGGCGGCAGGTCGCTGGCGAGCGACTCCCTCCTGGCCCGCCCGAGCCGCGCTCGAGCTGCACAGATGCGGCCATTTGTATGGCTTCTGCGGTGTTATTTCAGCCAGTTACACGAGTTACATTTACACCTATATGTATATATATACACACATATGTATATATATATATATATATATATATATATATATATATATATATGTGTGTGTGTGTGTGTGTGTGTGTGTGTGTGTGTGTGTGTGTGTGTGTGTGGTGTGTGTGTGTGTGTGTGTGTGTGTGTGTGTGTGTGTGTGTGTGTGTGGTGTGTGTGTGTGTGTGTGTGTGTGTGCGTGTGTGTGTGTGTGTATGTGTGTGTGTGGGTGTGGGTGTGTGTGTGTGTGTGCGTGTGAGTGTGTTTATGAATATAAATAAGTATACATATTTATGTACGCATATGTTTGTATATATATATATATATATATATATGTATATATATTACATGGGAGTATGTACAATGTACACATCACAAGGCCAATCCTCATAGCAGCAGGTGATTTTCGCTCCATCCCAGTTGCTATTGGATATGAAGATTTAGTGAAATCTGCATTTGTGCAACCTCAAAACACTGATTTAGAATGAATAAAGTACCTTCATTTATGCGATCTAATTGGTTATAAAGGTTCTCAAACCCAGCACTGAATATGGTCTGCTTGTGATGACAATGAATGTCATATAAAACTGAGATAACACGCGCACGTGAATACCTTTATATAGGTGAGGTCTGGAAGAAAACTTTGTGTCGGCTTGAATTCAAGCCCTTTCGGCCATAAGGGAACAGTTCCGGGTTATGGGATGGCTGGGATGGAGAAGAGTGGTGACATTGGATGCCCTTGGAGTCCTTCACCGATACTTTAGCCGCACTGGAATCGCTCCTCGGGGAATATGTGCTCGCTCGAACGGGGCTGTGACTAGGGCGCCCTTGAGGTACCCGTGTGGGTACCTTAAGGGCACTCCGAGAAGGCTGTAGACATGCGGAGGCGTAATGGCGTGTGCACGACCTGGTCTGACGAGAACTGGATGACAAATCCATAGTCTTTTGGCAGCCATCTCAGGTCAGCAACCCTAGAAAAACACCTTCGCATTCAGCATGAGCAGAAAAGTGTACACATACAGCCATGTTGGCAGATGAGGGCAGCGCAAAACTGCGCCGTGTACGTCACCGGCCCGGCGACATGTCGCCACGTGCCTCATACGAAGCGGAAAATGTCTCCAGCGATTGGGGCTGCAGGCGATTCGGTAATGCGCGGAAGTCAAATTCTCATCAACCATGTGACTTTTTTACTTGTTGTGTTCGTATGCGTCAGAGGTTGACCACAGGCAGAAGTACGACGGTTGTTGCCAAAATAAATGCGCGGAAACAACAATGTACATACGTACC